TTATAGAGCGATCGCCGTGTCGGAGGAGGAATCACTTTTTGGAGTCGACTCTCCAAGCTGGCCCGTTCTCGGCCGCGCGGCCACAATAAGATCTCGAATAAATCAACCGGATGTTCGCTATCGAGTCTCGAGCGGACTCTCGGTAGCTTAGCGGACAAAAGTTCGTCGCGCCGTAAAAGAATCTTCAACGATTCCGTGGGGGAAGTCGCGCGGCGCGAAGTCGATGAAGTTCGGATACGGCAACAGGTGTCCCCTGGAATATGCGTTGCGGTCCAAGAGACAGAGAACGAGAAGGAGAGATGTCAAAAGAATAACAATCATCCGTGGAATGTCTGAGAAAACCATTCTATGAATATACACAAACTTCCCGAAAGAGGAAAGGTTTTGAATTCACTCATAATTTCGCCTCTCACGCAAAATAAAATAGATATCATATTAATATTAAATCAAGTTAAATCTTTTTTCTAATCGTAGCCTGCATTAATCGATATGTCTCGATAGATAATTGTGTACGTATTCTTATGCAACAGTTTTTTGCGGTTAAAAATGTTTTTCATCGATTCACCTTTAATATTTCTCATTTATCCAGACAACACACGAGTGGAAATTTACAATTACTCGTTTGTCGCGCAAATTGTATCTGCGTGTTATTCGCGAGCGGCTTCAATAAAGCTTTTTCGGCTTAAAGCGAAATATCTTAATCCAAACAGCGGCTAATTTAGCAATCCGACCAGATAGCACGACAAGGAAATTCGCGAGTGAGTGAGAAAGAGAAGGAAGCAGCGGAGCTCCAGTTTAGTAGCGAGTGCTGTAAATCCTCGATTCTTTAATCTCGGTAAACCTCCACCGTCCCCGTCGCTCCCCGACCGCCCCCCCCGGAGACCCGCTCGCGGCCTAGCGAAAGATCGCGGTGCCCCTCGAGGGCGCCTTGCGCACACACACGTACACCCGTTGCACACACGCTGCGTCGAGGGAGCCTCCGAGCAGTAAATCTCGCGGACAAACAATCATAATTTTCGAAGAGCTAACAAAAAGCAAGAGACTCTTTAAAGGGAGCCGATGCCAGGCAACATGAAATGCGGCCGCCTCCGCTCCTCCAATTGTTTCGTGGTTTTCTTCCCTCTCTTCGAGTTCTCTCCGCTCGTGTTTCTCCGTTTATCGCCGACTCTTTTCTTCCTCTCCTCTGTCGTCCGTTTCGTTCTATCCTCCTTTTGCCGATGTACTCGGCGACGTATATCAATGTACACGATTGCCCGGATTGCCCTCTATTCTCTCCTCTTTCTCCCTCTTTGCGATTCCTATTCCGTCTTTCCTGATTTCTTCATTTCTTCGTTCCTTTGTTACGTTTGCCACTTCCTCTTGGTTATTCCTTTGCCTCTCGTTTTTCTACGCCTCCGTCTTTATGCATAGACAATCAATCCACGCGATTCTCTCATTGTTTCTACGATCGCTTCTTCGCTCTTCAATTTCTTGCTTGGCTAGTATTTTTTGCCGCTTTCTTTTAGTTTCCATTTTGCATGTATTGTTCTCTAATTTCAAGATATGTTTCTTCGTATCTTTTGCGTAATATTTCATAATCAAACAATCACAATAATTGTTAAAAGTTGTTTTTGAAGGAAAAGTCATGCCGCAACATGATTAAGATAATTTAAAGCAGAAAATAGTTAAAAATATACATTTGGTTAGCGGTTTGTGGTAAGATAATATTAATGTTAATCCCTATATTCCATATCATCCTTTGACCGCAATACATTTACAGATGAAATAAATATATCGGATTTTCGATGCGACAAGATCGGACATCCGTGACGCGTTTATCGGAGAGCGTAACATCGCAATGAGATGCTGGACGTAGAGTGGGCGTAGAGAGAGCGCGACTTCCGTGAGAAAAAACAAATGTGCGAGAAAGGAAATGACATAATCTCGCTGCGGAACCTTCCTGTCGGTAGATCGAGGTCGAATTCCGACAGGAAGGTCGACAGTCCTCACGACGATAATTTTGGAGTCAACTGCTGGTCGGCTACGGCCAATTAACGTCTCAATGCGTTAGCGTAAAATACGATATTAAGAGTACAATATCATAGATGATATCTCTCGGGACTATAAACGCCAAACTGTGAAACGCAATTGGAGCGAGACAGCACCGGTATTTGGACACAACTCGTCGGCCGGTGTTCTGCCAAATTGATCTGCAGTCGAACGCAAAACTCGGACAAATTCGTGTTGGCGCGTTTCGGCGAGAATTTTCCGCGCGGATTTTTACGCGGCGAATTCCGCGGAATCGTTAGGAACAATTCCACGAGCTAATTTCGTTCTCTTGGGAAACTCGATCGGAGCAAGGGAGCTGCCAACTTCTTTAAAGCTTTTCGTATAATAACTCATCACTGCGATGATATAATTTAAACATACATTATTTCGGCCAAAATAAGTTTATAGGCGAGATTTATTGGCTATAAATAATATAAATAAAGGGAGGAATGCGAAAAATATAATGTTACAGAAACTTGGGAAATGTTTTTAACAATCGAAGAATTTTCTTTCATTTGTTTCAACGTGGAATATGAAATTAATTATAATTGTAATTAATATATGCACATCGATATTGCATCAAAGCGGCAAACTGCTGATTCATTAAAACCCGGATTTCCGAGAATATTTTTCATTCGTTATACATTCATTATACGTTGAATTTAAGTAATTTCAAAGTGTCTTGAAATATCTTCAGGTTTTTGTTCAAATTATTATCAAGTATTGCTTAAAACTCAATTTACTAATTTTTTAACTACTGTTATATACAAATTAAAATAAATAACAATGTATCTTATTTAAATCATTTTGTACACCAAAAAAAAAAGACATTATAAAATATTTCGATCAAAATAAATTGCTTGTCTTCGATAATGTAGCAATATGTTTCTTTTTAACACAAAAAGTCAATAAAATCAACTAAATCAAACAAAAAAATGATGAAGTGTGCAAATACTTATTTTATCCATTCAACGTTACACGAAATTTCTCAGCAGTTTTTTCCACTCGTCCAATAATTGCTATATCGACTTGTCAAATAATAATAATAATGTCGACTTGTGCATTGAGATACCGGCTGTTCGCTCATAAAAATCAGAAATCAATACCTTTCGTTCTCTAGTTGATATGACCGTTCCTCCCACGAATCACTCCTCCCACCGACATCATAGTTCTGACGTGCGTTTCAGCGACGAGGCTCCCGAACTAGTTATCGATTATCCACACTAATCACCTTCGGTTATCAGCTCCGGTCCGTGCACTTCGAAAAACGTGACAATTCAATATCGCTCGCGCACCAAACCCGCAGGATCTCTGCGATCGCGATCACTCACACCGAACGATTTCGGATTCGAGTCTTTGGATTCGTCGCCGATCGTCGCTGATCGATTCTCGTCACGAAGCTTTCTTCGTGCAGTTCTGTCTCGCGAGGAACATGAAGCGCGCACCGGCTCTTTCCTTCTCGAAATCCCGCACTGAGATCACTTCCACCCTCATCGAACACTTCCGGTGCCACTCTGAACACCGTCACTCGGGATTCTCGAATTCTGCGAAGCATCCGAATGATTATGCGGCATTTTCGATCGATCTCTTCGATGGTCTCCTCAGTCCGAGCGAGTAGCGATCCTCCTGACAAACCACTGATTCGTGTCCCGGCGAACAAAATTCATCGTGCACTGTTTCGCATTCCTCGATCGAAGATTGTCATAAACTCCAATTAAACTGCCCGCTTCGTCACGGCGCGGAAGGAGAGATTGTCCTTTCGCGGCTCGAAGGATGACAATGTGGTGGTGGTGGTGACAGCACTGCGCACACTTAATCGAGGCCTCTGATGGAAAATGCACCGGAATCGTGGGAAATAGATCGTTCCCGCTGTCGTCCACGTTATCGCGGTACTCGAAAATTGTCGTTCCAACGAATCCTCAGGGAGGGCAATCGCGTAGGACACACGCGGGTTCTTCACCCGTGGAACTCGGTATCCGTGTGTCTTCGATTCCCGAGGCTGTCTAAGCACCCGCGACGAGGAGGGAGGGCGCGCGTCCGATCAAGAGGGGGAAGAAGTGGGGGTGGTCTTCCGAACTGCAAAGAGGGCGGTTCGCTTCGCGTCTACCTCGGGCTCGCGCAAATTCGCACGCGTTGCCGCGCGGTCTTCCACCGCCACCCTCGGCGGCAGACGAGGGTCGCCACCCTCGCAGTGATAATAACGCTTCCGTCGCCGCCGGAATATCGGGGTGGTTCTCCGGCGAGTTGTTCTCCAGCGAGCCCAGAATGTCAGAGAAGAGAGTGCGCGTGGCTCGACTGGCGCGAGATGACTGAACCCCTCCAAAGGGTGAGAGACAGAGACGGCGGAGAGGGGCGATAGGGGGAAGGAAGGGGAAACACGCTGCTCTCCCCCTGGTCCCCTCTTTCGCCGACGGAGAAAGACCGCGGGCTTCAGAGGGCCCCCACCAGGCCGTACCGTTCGTAAGATGCCCCACCCCGTCGGGCAAAGTAATGCGTCGCATTCTCCCCGCCTTCGTCCGATGTTCCACCGCCTCCCACCCCCGACGATGCACGTTGCTGCCTCTTCCCCGCCGATCCCCGGCGTCGTCACGGCACGGCCGCGACGACGACGACGACGGGGGCAGAGAGACGGAGTTCTGCCACCGTCGAGCGACTCCTTCCTCTTCTTCCGCTCCGCTGTCGTACGCATTCGTCCACCGGCTGGCGAGCCGTGCACAACTGCATCGCATGCTACCGCCGAAGCGCCCTTGCATGCGTGCGCGAGTAGGTGGACCCGTAGGGGTGACTTAGCGGAGAACGTTAACCCTTTTATTACCGAGGGGGAGTAGCAAAGTTATCTCGGAATAGTAAGTACCGTCCGTGGCCATGAAAGTGATGTATGACGAGACGATGTAAATTTGCTATTGGAATATAATTTTTACCGAACTAACTTTACTTTTCTTTCTTTTCTTCAAATAAAATGTTTCCAGCTCAATTTGTGAATCATTTGACACACTATTTTTTATGTGTAAATATCTATCATCGCAGTTATAAGCTCAGATCCAAACGGCCAATTTAGCCATTCTTGTAGAATTTAGAAAAATCACTTTCGGCGATAAAAGGGTTAACTCAATATTTCCAAAAATATAGATATTTATAAATCAAATTATACTGCTCTGCGTTAATTACAGACTCGCTTTCTCTATTTACATATATCGTTGAACAATGTTCAGCAATCACATTATGATTTTCTTCAATGGCAAAAATGCTGCCGGCTGTTATGCATTACAAATAGCAAGAGACGAGTGCGACTTTGGAGTGCATTAATTTTCCACCCTTGCGCAGAATCGCCACTTCACCCTGCCTTTGCAGAACGACTCCGCCGACCAATGACGTCACTCGAGTGCCCTCAAAGGACACTCCCACTTTTTTACCCCCGCAAAGGTCCTTGCGATGCCGCCGATGCTTATCGCCGATGCGTTGCGCAGGGGTGACGATTATTCGGGGTTTCTATGGACGTCGCTAATTGAGAGAAAACGAGGGATGCTATGGCGTCGCAGAAATTGGATGCGATCAAAGACTTTAGGGGAGAATAATAACTAGTTTTCTAAAATAAAACTATAAATTTGAACTTTAAAGTTTGCAGAATAAATTAGTTTTTTTTGTACTTTACATCTACACTATGTGCAAAAGTCAGCGCATAGTTTATTACTTTGTATAATGTTATGATTGATGTAAGATGAACGATCTATTTTCTAAAATTGTATTGCTATGAAATAGAGAAAATTACTTCAGTTAATGATTCTTCTAGAGATAGTAAAAAGTTGATAATAAAAAATGCTCTATTTTCTTCCTCGTACTTGTTATTATTTCCGTTACGTTTTCTGATACATCGCGACATTAATATCTCTTCCAATTTTTAGATTGACGTTTCCGAGCTATTTACATCGTGCGGGTAGCTTGTAACGGGGATTAAGGATGATTAAAGCTGAAAAGAGTCATGAACGAAAATGGGCCTGATTCACGTGATTATACCAGTGCGCCGTGTGAACGTTCCTCCTGCCTTTTGATTTCTTAACGCGCTCATTTATCACAATTATCGTTCATATTTATATTCCTATATTTCTCCTTCGTGCTGGTGCACAGTTACCAGTGTTACGCGTCAATTTATGGAAATTTTGCGCAGATTAACCTTATTAGTAGAAAAATGCGTTGCAGAGCAAGCCACGACTATTTCGAACAAGACGCTGTTATGATTAAAATAATTGCTACAGTTAATCAAAACTAATTAATCATCACTTATAATGTATCTCTACACTTGTCACTATGCACCTTACTGAAGTGCAGTTTCTTCTTTTCATCATCCTCGTGATTGATAGCCCCGATCTACTTTATTGCTCATTAATTTATTAATTAAATCACTATTCCAGTTCATAATCTATATATTGCTTATTAGATTAAAAATCATTGTTGAAACATTATGAGAATAACACACATTTAAATCATTAAAAAAAAATTGCAAAATGTACAACAAAAAAATTTATAATTATTCTTAATATCTTTTCATATGTATTTTTCGAAAGAGCAAATCAAAGTCTCTCAAAATAAGAAGGGCGCTAAACCCTTTCCCTTGTTACGAAACGACCCCATTTAACGACCTCGCAACAACCAGTTGATGATCAGGTAGTCGATTTTCAGAAAAGTAGAATGTGGGAAAAAAGTCGCGGCGTCCCGTTAGGTCCCGAAAGGGTTGAAGTGGAACCCTTCGAAAATGGGTCAGAACACTCGCGCTGTCTCTCTTTCTCCCTCGACGTTTCCTTAAAGGACCTTTTAATCCGCCAATAAAATATCGTGTTTCCAGGTATCGGAAATACTACGGGATCGCGCGATTTTGCGTAATATGCCAATGATCTAACGCGCCCTTCATGCGGCGCGTCCGAAGGGGTTTCGATTTTCGATGAAAAGGGGTTTTACCGTTTCGGCGATCGTGTGAGAAAACCATTAGCCTAAAGAAACCCTTAAATAACGGAAGACCGCGCCGACCGCCCAGGGATGAATGGAAAAGCTATTTTTGATTTCAGGTATAGTCAGCATCCGGGTCCATTCGCTTCGTATTATTTTTTTCAATGGATAAGAACATATGAATAAGATATGTGAGTGAATGGAAGATTTATAGGAAAAATAGAAATACATTAATTGCGTAAATTTCCAACGACGAATACAATGACCTGATTTATCTTCAAATAAGAATTAAACGAGTGTTATATATCTCGGCAATGTAATTTTTTTCTGTTATTTGACAATCAACAATGAAAGGATTCACGAAAAACTGGAAGAATTTGACGGACAAACGAAAGTTGAATGCTCTCACTCTCAGAACACTCTCCGAAGTTTAAAAATACCGCTGTGAGTCTCAGCCCTTCTAGTGAAAATATGAATTTTTTATCTCTCCCTCGCGGGCCATATGGTTGATGCGCGTTTCTCCCAAGGGTAGAAAGACAAAAAAGAGAATCGAAGAGTAGGGAGTAGCGCGGTCGAAAAAACCGGAGAAACTCCATAAGACGAATATTTTTAGAGTCGAATTTCCAAGGTAGTTTCCGTGGTTCCGTGCGAGGGATAGGAAAGAGAAAAGGGTTGCCGTTCCTGTTTTTTACCGTGCACTATCCTACCGTTTCCGCGTCTAAATTCTTCCCACTGTTTTCCCCTTACCCGTCCCCTTCTTATTTACGGTCCCCAGATAAACCAGATGTCATCTTGACAAATCCTTCTTAGTCGTCTTTTTCCTATCATTTTTCAAAAAGATCGTGTCTAAAAAATTACGATAATTAAAATTCTAAAGATACAATGCATTCTCTACACGAGAAAAGTCAAATTTTAGACAAAAATATCAGAATAGTTATTTTTTGGAAATGTCAAAAAAATGAATAGTAAAAATTAAAAAAGTATTTCCGGGCAACGCGAAAATATCGCGTATTTGAACGCAGATCGTGACTAAATGCTGCGGATATAGCGGATCTGGATGCGTTTTGCAGTGTGCGCGTGTCGTCGGCGTATCTACGAGCGTTGTACTCCAGGCAATGCATCGAGCAGCGCGTTCGTACTCGTCCGACATGGAATGTGGTCCGGTTCTCGAGTGTGCGCGAGCGCGGGCGCAAGCAGCAGAGAGCACTGTGCTATAGTTCCCGTTTTTTATCGCTTCGTAATGCATTAGCCATAATAGCCGTACGCACTTAATGGACTGTAGCCTCGTTACAGTACGCCACGTCGTGGGTGGATACGTCGCTCGTCTGCACTTTGGCCGCGCTCGCTTCGTGCGCATTGTCCCGCTCGCGTGTCAATCTCAGGCCACAGGCGCATCGATTCGCTGATTTTTATCGAGATAATAGAAACATCATCATGTACGTAGGAAAATGTAATCGAATTTTGCTTTGTCTTTCGTCAATGTATTTTACGACGATATCTATATAAATAATTCCCATTGCACAAATATACGATCTAAATAAATTTTATCAAATTGAATATATTTCTTTATGTAAGCCGCTATAAGAATCTATAAATTCAGTTTCTTGAATCTGCATTGCTCTCAGTGTTTCATACATTTAATATGTTTGGTACATCGCGACCTTATATTCTGTATTGCGGCCTGTATATGTAATTTCGTTCGCTCTTGCAGTAAAACCATTACTCGCGCATTACCCTCCATCATTCGTCAAAGCAATCACGCTCGCTATTCTCCTTAAACAAATGGAGAAATCCGCATCGGCGGTCACGATCGCATCGATCAATAATCACGCCTGCGAAAATCGCATCCCACGGTAGCGTATTATTTACCGACTTCGTCTCGAACGAAGGAGCATAGAGAACTGAATAACTTTCTCTGCAGAACGCTGAGAGAGAGAGATATTGGTTTACTATTGTAACATACACTTTCTCAAGTCGCGTCAGCGGTTAAATTAAAATGTAATGGCAGGAAAAGTGATTTGATATAATACGCTCAAATGTTCCCTCTCCCGCTAATATTTGCAGTTATACCATAAATTAAGGCTCGATGTACCGAGCGCAATTTTGAAATGTCATATCGCATCTTTTAATACGGTTTACTTTCAGAATATGGAAAGTGGGGATCTGCACGCAATCAGCCGTTCGGAAGACTGCAAACTATCGATCGCCAATTGGAGATCCGGAGAACAATTTTGCGAAACTGGGTAACAAATCTAGTCTGCATACATCTCGCGTTTTAATAATCGCATCGTCCGCGCGCGCACACACTCACACAACACACACACACACACACACATTCGGCGGGTTTTAATCTCCGAATAGAAGAGCGCACCGGTGGGATTACTCACACGCCCTCATAACAGGCACACGCACGCGCCTCGCGCGCACGCCTGAAATATTCAAAGGTCCCTCTCGCCGTTCCCGCTCCGCGCCGCGCCGCCTTTTTCACCGCCGTGCGTGTGCGTCTCTCGCCGGAGACTGGTTTTCGATATGACTCACGCGTGTAACGCCGTTCGACGTGTATTGGTGTGCTCGTATATCAAAACCAGTAGGCACCCCCGACATCGCGGGATCCGTGAGCGCGCGAGCGCGCCTTTATGCTCTCCGTCTCTCTCTCTCCCTCCTCTCTCTCTCTTTCTCCCAGAACGTGCACGCGTGTACGAACAAGTCGCCGGTTCTCCTACAACGGCATGTTCCCTCATTTTTGCAGACTACCTTAAGTCTAAGTCGTTCTATTTAAGCGAACGCATGGATTTAAGTAACGACCCGCGCTCTATCTTTCAGCGCTACATCCGCCTCGTCTCGCCTCGCCTCTTCGTCTTCTCGTCACACACGTACTATTAACGTTTTGTTCGCCGGCGCTACACGTGGCCGTCGCTGCTTCGCTTCCGATCTTTCTTTTCCGGTGCGCAAACCGTCCGATCGGGAAATCGAGGCATTTCAACGATTTTTCTCTTATTTGTTATTCGAACGGATTGCAGAAAGCATTGTGTTTTACTAACCGACATTTATTTTCACATTATTTTACCACGGAAACAAGACGTCTCCGTAAGCAAACCTTCCCGCAAGTGTCTATTTTGGATCTAACGAAAATAAGACCACACTGCCAAAACAACAAATCGTGCAGTGCAGGGCTGAAATCCCATTAGGACCATCATACTCGGCGATAATACGCTCGTTTGTTGAATCAATGAGATAGCCAAGTCCGACAGCGCCGAAAGCCGATGATAAAAAGTCGTCACGATTTCTGAACACCGCGGCGCCGTATTTTTGCGCGAGGCGTTAGAAAATTAAACTAATAATTGCGTGTTTCTTTGACACTTCCTCTATAATGTTCGACCGCTCTTATAACGCTTAATGACAATCGTTACGGATAATGATTGTAAAAAAAGGAGATCCAAATTCGCGATCTAAAAACGTTTCTAACGGTCGTCGTGGCTGCGGGCGAAAATCCTCGAGCCTAGCTGGCGTACCGTTTCTCAGGCCTCTTTTTTCTCGCCTTCTGGCGGAATAACCAACGGCGTGACTCTGCTTTATCGCGAATACGAGAGATTCTAATTAGCTAATGCGATTCCATCAATGTCCGCCCGCAGACTTCGACTAGGAAGTTGTCCGAGGATAAAATAATTGCCTCGCGAACCGGCCGAATGAAAAAAATCCGCACAGACCCCGCGATGAGCAAGCGATAATTAAAAGCGATCTACGAACCGTTAAACGCGACGGAATAATAATTAATCGAACGAGACCTATGGGTTTAATCGTTCATCTCAATCGCCAATGTGGCAGCGGATATTTCGATTCAAAGAAAACCTACAGATTGAATTAAATTTACAATGACGCGCGCGTACACACACACACACACTTGCCAGATTCGAATCTTTTTATTCGTTTCAGCATTTTCCTGTATTAAGGAATGTTCTATTTATCTACTTACTAAACGCATCAATCGCGATATGCTACAGCCATTGCGATCATTATTAGACCATATACGCGTTCTCTTATCCGTCATCGCGGACGTAAGTGCCTCGCGCGCGAGATACCGAGGCACGACACGAAGAAATAAACGGAGGTCCGCGGGAATGCGAGTATTATGTGTCCTGTGGAAACGGGATATCCCTCGACCTGACTCTCGGCGAACAATCGATACCGGAGCCAGAAGAGCTCGAGTAAAACACACACACGGTATTCAGATTCTCAGGTATGTGCGATCTTGTCGTAACGAGCATCAAATCGATTCCCACGGCTGTATGAGTCAAGGCCTTATCGGCGGAATTGCCTGGTCGCATCTCGCGAGAAAGTGGAAACGTCTCGGACGCGTGAGAAGCATCGTGCGATACGATTTCGCGCTATGACAGACGATAAAATTTACGTCACGGGTTAAACGAAAGATTATTTTACGATTGACCGTAAAATCGCGTGCGTACTTCATCTCCCTGACGTATTCTTAGTATTTAAAACTTTTTATTTTTTTTAGTTTCGCAAAGTAGTTATATAAATTGTGATATCATATAAAGTATCTTGGTCTTTTGTAAGCCCTATTTTGCTATATAATAAAATGTCAAAATAAATGATGCGTCGATATTGTTGAAGCTTTGTTTCAATTCTTTATGCATGCATTTTTGTAGAATAAACATTTATGAATCGCAATCACAAATATAAGTTCTAGGATTAAATATTAATTCTAATCTATGTTTGAACCAATCCATTTTAAGGCAATAAATCTATAAAATCTTTTATTATAATTGAACAATTTTTTGTCTCAATAAAAATTTTTCCTAATCCACATGTTTATAATTTTCGTAAATCCATTACCTCAAATTAGAAGAAAGATAATATGATCTCGACTTACCAGTTCACGATGCGCAGCAGCGGTGTTGCACGTTGATCCGCAGTTTACATGTTGATCTGCACGTAGTTTACACGTTGATCTGCAAAATACAAAATTATATACAGATTACATAGCAGCACATAAAGTAATTAATTACAAAATAATTATTGCGCATATTAAACTTTTCCATTCCGCAAGCGGGTATTTAATGAAATTTTTACATATTTATAGAAAAAATTTAATTTTTATATAAATATTTGAAATCAATATAGATACGTTAAAAATATGTATTTGCGCCGCGGAAATAAATGCAATGATATTTGTGTAAACGCGTGTGAGTGCCTTGAAGAATTGTAAGAAGAACTGAGAGAAGGAGGAGGCTCAGAAGGAGCATCGGGCGCCGGCGGAGTTTAACTTAAGGTTAAATAATAAATTTATTATTTATTACTATTTATTTGATTTTTCATTCATTTAAATAAATTTCTAAACGCTTATATAAACAGCTATAAAATCAATGACATAAAATTAAAAAATTCCTGTTTTATATATTGTATTTTCATCGACTAATTTTTGTACTGTAATGCATTCACACAAATATACATTTTTCGTAAATTAAGCATTTGATTAGAAAAATCTTGGTACCAAAACCAAAGAATCTCTGAACACTTGATATCGATATTCCCAATATAATACATATTGATAACATACTCACGCATACGTTTGTGTCAGCGATTGGAAGCGCTGAGACAACAAAGTGCGAGTATTTCAAGGAACGCGTAATTTATATTCGAGACCCGTCGACACACGACAGTGATTTTATGTGCCTTTCGGGAAACGAACGTTACGAGGCAATTAATTTCAAAAATCCCGATTATCCGTCCGCCGCCTTGCCGCTTTGTTGCGAAACGTAATTTATCTGGCGAAGCTCCTCTATTTATGCGCGCACTTCTAGAATTATCTGCCTGCTCGGCGCGGCCGCTTCAAATTTCGCGAGTGCGACTCCTCGTTCTACTCCGCAACGAACTTTACGAGATGCAAACTGGTTTCCCGCGGTCAATTGTGCCTATCCGGCCGCTCGTATTAGAAACTCGTATTGTGGCGCGTGTGTTCCAGCGCTATTCAATGGGCAGAACTTTTACCAAGAGGTATTGCTGATTACAATCGCGATGTCGCAGGTGTTAATGTTATCGCGGGTACCGCGACCATTCAGTCAGCCGGACAATAAAACGTCGGTGGACTTGGAAATTGGCCAATGCGGAATAAAACTATTTAACGACCGCGCGTGATTTACATTTATGGCATCTCACTCGTTATCCACGGCTTACGGAATCGCCGTGTACATCATTCAGAAGTGGTCTAAGCCTATCCCGGCTGTACACCCCGCGATGAGAGAGCAGCCGTTCGAACGACAATACGACAACACCACAAATCACGTCGGGCGAACAATAAAATACCAGTAGCTCACACCCACCACGTGTCTTTCTGCCTACGTCACTCACATACGTGCCACTATCTCTCGCTCTCTCCTTCTCTCTCGCTTCTCGCCGCGTGCTCGTCTCTCCTCTCCGCCCCCTTTCCATCCCGTTCCCTCCGCCTTTCTCCAGAAATTCCTTCCCGTTTTTAAATTCCCGGAATCAAGCGGCAGTCCATTCACGATTCGCGCTAAGAGAGAGGAGAAAGAGATAGGAGAATGAGAGAAGGGGATAGAGAGAGAGAGAGAGAGAGAGAGAGAGAGAGAGAGAGAGAGAGAGAGAGAGAGAGAGAGAGAGAGAGAGAGAGAGGCAGTAAGAAAGAGACGGAGAGAGGAAAAAGGAAGAAGAACCACATGGAGGTGAGCTGCGGGAAGAAGAGGGTCGACTCGGGTGCGTAAGGCATTTAATTGAGAAGTCCGACGAAACAATGGGCGGCCGATGCGTGAAGAGGAGAGAGAAAGAGGCGACGCACGTGACATACCGCGTGTGGCGTGCCACGAGAAGGCGCGTCATGCTAACAAGTACACCCCCCAAGATGTCCAATTTTCGGCACTGCCGATATATCGAATTTAGAATGGATTGCGAAAAAGCAAAGTAATACAGAATTCTGTAATAAATAAATATGTATAAGATTTTTGTAAAATTTCTTTCCGATTATATTAAATTTGTGTAACCAACTTATATTTTAGAATATTAAAATCTGGAAATCGTCTTGAAGGCTGAAGAAAAATAAACTTTACCTCTCGCGCTGTTTATTTAGAGCCATATTTGTACTCTAACTCGAAAGTGTAATCCCGAGGCACTTGTATATTTCCGTTTCCATTGAATCCACTTGGCGTAGCGGGTTAAAAACTTAAAAGATATTTCCACGAGGGCCCTCGTAAAAACAGATTCATTTAAAAGTCTCGCGGTCACGCAAGAAAAGGGATGTTCGAGTATTCACCAGTTGAGAATAACGTCAACGGAGCCACTTATTAACAAATTTAAGCTCGCACGTATATATGTGTGCTTGGTGCCGTGTGCGGGTCTCTACTCGGCGGGCCTGTGTGTCGATCACATATGTACGCCGACACTGTGTTTATCGACGAGGAGACGCGCGGACGCATGGATGTGGCGATTGTATATGCCGTATACGCCAGCGAGATGTCAACGACCCTTTATTGGTCGGCACTGCCTCTATGCTCTCCTTATCATTTTAATCCCTCGTAATTTCCTTTACGTTTTATGCGCCATTCGTTACGTATTGGTAGTCGGAGATGGAAGTAAAGCTCGAAGACGGATCGAGCAGACCGAGCGTTAAACGCGTCTTTGCATCCTTTCGCCGAATTGTTTAATTTATCGACAGAAAAATCGGCGTTCTTCACTAGTTGTTTTTACGACGACAGATACTTGAGAAATTTTTTCAATAATCTATTTTTTTTTAATTTGAATTGTTGCGGAAATTGTCGCTAAAAGGGGAGCTATCGACAAATCATTTCGATTAGGGGAACTTTTTTCATCCTCTCTTTTTATTGATACAAATAAAAAAATTTAAGATCGATTCAATTGAAAATGAGTAGGAAACGCTCGACTTTTTGCGCTCGACCATTATACGCTTTTTTCCCATGAAAAGTGGCACCGGTGAAAGGAAACCGAGGGAAAACGGGCAGATAATGCCACCTGTTCCCGAAGAAACGAGGAAATTCCTCGGGGGTTTGCCTGTGAAATTGAGCGGTTAACGCTTGACCTATCGGCCTGCCTCCGAACCGTCCCAATTCCGGACCGGCGACCGAAACATTGACCCAGACAGGACCCCCCCCTCCCTGCGGGACCCCCTGGATGCTGTAACCTCCGGAAAATCGCCCAACAATGGGCAGAACTGTCGACAATATTTTGACAGGTTTCGTTCATCTTCTCGGCCCGTCGACCATTGAGGACCCGTTCGGAAAAAACTTGGGCGGAGGCAAAAAATTCCTAAACCAATCAATTAATAGTCGAGCGAAAAAAAGCGAGACGGAGAGATTTCGCGCGTGTGAAAGTCCGATTTCACAGCGGACGGGCAAAAATAATAACGGAACGCGGAGACGGAGGGGAAGTAAGTATCATACTTTCGAGATTTATAAGGTGTTGATAGCGTGCGAAAGTGGCTCTTTTTCATTTTCGCAAAATCGGTGAGAGACGTTTAAATTTTTTTCAGGGATCCTCACTGGAGTATTACTTTTTAATGCAACTGCTTCGTTCGCGAGAATTCGCCGTTCGCTTTTTTATACGACGCGAATAAAGATACGCAGCAGAGCGCAGCAGGGAGGAGGACATCGATCGACGACCGCGCTCGTCTCCTTCAGTTCTCCAGTTACTTGGCTCCCAGAGTCTGTGGCGGCGCGCGAGCGTGCACAGAGAGACGTATGGAAACACATACGATCGTACGAAAATGGTGAACAGACGGAGAATAAGAAAAAAGAAGAGAGAGAAAGAAAGAAATACGCAATTTATCGATACTCTGGAAGCCTTACGATTCAACGTAACTGGCGTGTGCTTCGGAGATCAACATAAATTCAGTTAATATAAAACAGCAGGCACTGACTTAATTGGTTAATAATTGGCACTGCTGAATAAATTTGACATTATGTGAAATAAAAAATAATTTAAAGTGTTAAAAAAAATAAAAATGTCTTATGCTTGCTAGAAATAAAAAAAATTTTTAAACTTTTAAAGAAAAATATTTTTAAAATATTAAAGATATTAGAGTAAGAATACACTTTTATTCTATAACTAAAAATTAAAATTTTGTCAAGTCTGTAATAGAAATTCTTTTTTACAGGTTTTGATGCAATACTAAACGACATGTGTCGTGAAAAGCAAGCGATGCTGTTTCTGATATCTGGATCATTTCTTAGCCGACCGGGTCGAATGAAATGTCCATCGACTCGGCGATTACTAACGAAGAAATGGACATGATTTTTTACCGGGCAACGCCGGCCGAAAATCGACGAAAAATTCGCAAAGTCGGAGCGTCTGGACGTAGCCCATAAAGTGTCGAGCGTAAATCACTCGGTTTTATGGTGGTGCGCGTTTGCCAACCTTTAGCTGATGAATTCCTTAGCTTTACTCGCTAGGCGGACTCGCACCCGTATGCGCACAACGCTAAATTCGAAAAGTGCCTTCATCTCGTTCTTCGTGGAAAGAAAGGGCAATGCTTAAAGGATCCTGTCTAGATTGAAATCACGAACCTTGCCTAAGGTAAAGTAGTTCTCACCTTAACACTAACACATACTAATTTTATAACTTCTCGAGTTCGAAGGGAAGAACTAATTCTCTTTCAGTTGCATCTGGCCCGTACGTTCGCTGTTAACCTTTGTAACGATTAATTTAGTAAAATAACACAATTTCAATGAGAATGCCTTCTTCGTAACGGAATAGAGACGGGTATCACTTCCGAGTAGCAGAGACGAAGGACCAAAAGAAGTCGCGAAGAAGCTTTTTACACATCCCTTAGAGAAACGAGGGTGCGAAGGTGTCGACGGCAGGCTCCGGCGTTTTCTGGTTCCGCCCCAACGACGTTCCGATTATACAGATATTCAAATGAAGGCCGCCCCTCTGGCTCTGGCCGCAACAGTTACGTATCATCGAATTATTCTAATTTCCTGTC